TTTCCTCCACAAAGAATGAGGATTTTCATGCCTGAATGTAAAGGGAGAATTTGTGCAGGAAGGTATGTCATACCCCTATTTGTGGAGGGTTTTGGACTTAAATGGGAGTTTCACAAGGATGATAGCATGCAAACCTTTAAGGCAGAATAGTCTGACTTCAATAGGATATTAGTTAACCTGTGCACACAGATTAGTGTATTAAATGGTACATCACTGTGCATTATGACCTGAGAAAGAACCTTGGGAAAGTCACCCATACCATCTACTTACGCTGATGTATTTGTAGAATGTAGCTTACTTGTACAAGCCTTTTTAATTAATCCTTTTGCATCAAATAGATCAAAGTGCACATCAGTCTTTTACAGTTACATTCAAAATTAACGTAACGTAATGTTTGGGACAATATGGAATCTATGGGTCCATTTCGGCTGTTCCATCCTCTAAACTAAATTAAAATAATTAGAAAAAAAATCTTAAAGCCAGCCCTTATCACTCATATACTTCTTAAGCTTTTTCTTAATATCACTTAAATTTACTGCCTCTGCAACATCCGAAGTCAACCTATTCCAAAGTCCAATCACCCTGTTAGAAAAATGAAAGTCTTAGCTAAAGATGACTCCTACCCTGCCAAAATTTATATTTGTGCCCCCTTGGTCCACTGTTCTCACTGTTAAATATGAAAAAAAGATGATGCATCAACACTATCAGTTCCCTTTACAATCTTAGACACCTCAATAAGATCCCTCCCCTATCTCTTCTTTTTTCAAGAGAAAACAATTTGAGAGATTTCAGCTTCTCCTTATATGACAAACCCTCCATCCCAGGCACCATTCTAGTAACCCTTCTCTGAACCATTTCCAACAATTCAATCTCTTTCCTGAGGTAAGGAGCCCAAGGCCCTCCAGTGGCACAGTGGTATGTCTGCAGACTTACAACGCTAGAAACCGGGTTTCGATACCCGTGGTGGGCAGAGCACAGATAGCCCATTATGTAGCTTTGTGCTTAATTACAAACAAACAAGGAGCCCAAGACTGAACACAATATTCCAAATGTGGCCTATGTGCTACTTTATTATAAATGTATACAAATAAACTTGACATCAAAATATACTTAATATTATTTAACTTTTAAGTTCTTAGTTTTGTAAGAAAATATTTAAAAAAATCCTCAGTCTTTCTTAATATGAGTATTGTGACATTTGCTCTTTAGGTCTTCCCTCTTCTCTAATTTATTTACCAGTCCTCTGAGAAGTATGGAATTTAACGTAAATTACACATTATAAAATAGTTATTACTCAGGCAAAGTATAATTTTTATAGCCTTCACTCTTATTTGGTTTCAGAGTCATAAGCTAGAAAATTAGTCCCCTCCTGCCATGCCCACCTGTTACATTCTCTTTCACAAATTGCTAATAGTTCTCTAAGGATCTAGTACAGTATTTTTTATAACCAATAGAAAGCCAAAGTTTTAATCTATCAACTGACATATTACATTGTTTTCTGTACAGAGAATTTTCTATTACACTTCCAGTTCAAACTTTTTTCCACAGGAAATACATCAACAAGCTTAGCTGAATTTTTAATAGTTTTTTTCACACAGTTAGAAAGCCAGAAAGACTGTGATAGTTATGGAACATTGTTTCATTTGTGTATATTATTATTCTGTGTTCTTTAGTGCATTATTTAATTAAATAGAAATTATTTTATGCAGTAGTACAATTATTATTAAAAAATAGGATTAAGTTTCATCAACAATCAATAGCAAAAAACAATATAAAACTCTGGTAAGTACTATTTTTCTTGTTTTTCAGGTATATTCTTTATATATTGTTATAAAAGTATCTAAAATGTAGAAATTAGAAACTTACTAGGTTAGATTAGGTAAACTAAACAAAAATAATAACCACAATAAAAATTTTCACAAGGTATGCCTACGAGTATACCATGCATTACATAATTCGATAGGGTAATGTGGGCTACAAGTTTGCTGAGTGATTTACAACTTGTGTGGTAGGATTATTAGTCAGACGCACTTGAAAAGACAATAAGACAATAAAATTAAGTATAAATAAATGTATACTTTTACAAGCATTAAACTATTTAGGATAAACAACAGTGGTTTTCTGTTATAATTTGCAGTCATTCCAGAAAGAAAAAAGGTAATTTTGGAATTATTTCCTAATTTTGTTATGGTAATTATGACATCAGTCAAATTGACTGACTCTGTGCAGATAAAATATAAAGTTTTCTGAAAAAAAGTGATAATTATTTAGGAGATGTTAAGGATTACGCAAACAAAATTTGAAAGTTTTTTCAATGAAGAAAAGTGTTTTTAATTTAACTTGAAAATCACTTTGCATTCCGAGCAGTTGACACTCTGACATCATTTAATTACAGACAAAGTTTTAGTAAAAATACTTCATTAAAAATTATCATTTTTTTGTCTACAAATGACTTTTAAAGTGTACTGAAATCGTGATAAATTTCGTGAATATACATTAAGGACTTTCAGAGTCACGTATACCACTATGGTTACATGGAGTTTAGAAGTATGTGCAAAGTACACGAGTCTGTAGCGATATGATTAATTCTGGTGTTTATGGCAAATAAAAGTGTGGTGTGGTATTAATGTATAAAGATAATTAAATATTGTAGACAAAAAAGAAGTAATTATAAACAGCTTCAGAATTTTTAGTTCTTCAGAATATTACAATGTGAGCTTAAAAGTTAATTGCTATTAGAAAATAAATATACAGTGACTTTTCACTTTTCTGTTTTATCAAGTGAACTCATTTTACATGTTACCCTTTTTGCCTAAAAATAATCCTTATTTGATTAGAAGTCATCTTGTTGGTGAAACTATCTTCTTGATCTCTGGTTTTAGTTTTTGGATCAACATCTGTTTTATGCATAAACTTCTCATAATATTCTCTGGAGAAAATATTAACTATATTGTGATGTATGGAAATGTCACATTCATCAACCACCTGATCACATATACATGATTTATTATTCGTAACTTTATGCATGTTTCTTAATCACCTAGTGTTCAAACCAATATAGCTATAGTGTTTTGATTGTCTTTTTTCTTACCATTGTGAACCTATCTTTATTTAGAATTTGAAGATTGAAGAAGAATACTCTTCACATTCAACATAAATACAGGTTCACTGTATAAATGGTAGAAAAAACACCATGTTTATGATGTGCAACTCACCAGTTAAGAAGCCTATTGTTCTTTTTATTCTATTGTCCAGAGTTGTTGATGAGAGGTGAACTCTCCGAAACTGGTATAACTGAGTGACAAGTGGTGAATAAATAGTAGATTTGGCTTCATATTAGTTTTAGTATGTTACACAGATTGTTTACTTAATAATATATAAGTATGGATTTGTAGCACTATTTGCTACATATTTTTCAAATTCTCTCTAAATATATGTACACTATGGTGAAAAAATGACGATTAGAAACATCATGCATATAATGTGCAATTTGCAAGTATAAGAAGCATAATATTCTTTTCTTGATTCATCCTTGTTTAGGGTTACTGATGAGGGAGGGAATTTCCATAAACTGGTATAACTCAGACAGTTGGTGAATCAAATAATCTATTGGTTTTCCTGTTTACTTCCAGTATTCTTTGCCCAGAATTATGTCTATGTCATTTATATTCATATATCACGTTAGATGATTTTAAGTATTAAATTCTATCATAATTCTTTGTAACAATTTTGTATTCTATTGTATTTGCATTTAGGCTATTGAATTTTTACATTTCATGTAAGTTTATCTTTATATAGTAATATTACATATGTTTATTTTAGAACATTAAATGTTGATATTGTTTATTTTATTTATCTTAATAATTATTTATGAAGTTTGTAGTTATACTAATATTGTTGATTAAAAGGTTCAAACCAGAGCTGAGTGAGATGGGTTCGGCAACAAGATTGACTAAACTAAAGGATTATTTTCCATTAAGTAATAAAAATATCTTAAAACTTCTTGCATTAAAGGCTTTAAACTTATTAAAATCCATTCAATAATAACTGAATATAATGTCATTTAAGATAAGAAATGAAATGTCATGGTTTTAGACATGTAACATTGTACAGTTATGTAATTTCTTTTAGTCTTCTGCCTCGGATATTTGCACAGAAAAGCATATACAGCTTTTTTTATTGACATTTTGTAGTTCACTTTTGTTGCTTATAGGGAAGACTTGTGCCAATTTTGAACTCGGATAAAAACACTATAGAAATCAAAAGATGGTATATTTAGATATCATGGCTGTAGCTGCATTCCTTCTGTTTTATGGTTAAGAAGATTTTTTTTTTATAAATGTCCCACAAAGGATAGGTTATTTTATGTTTGGTTTATTGAAGTGCATACCACTAAAAGCCTCCTTTCAATCTTTTGATAATATATTAGTTTGTTAGAGTTAGCTACAAAGAGAATAATTACACTTCTAATAAATAAAGCTTCTGTCAAGCTTTCCAGGAATATTCCTTGCTGTGAATACCTGACTGGAATCAAAAAATTAATTCTTGAAGATTCAAGCCTTATATTTTCTGTCCCAAGTGGTTTTTTTTTTCATTTATGGAAAAGTTGCAGAAACTTTGTTTTATGGACATTTATTTCTTTTTAACTAGGTTCATAATGGTTCAGTCTCAGCTTTTTGTTTCTGGTCTAAATAGTTTGTCAATTTTGTAGATGAAGGCCCTCATTTTTTTTTCAAGATTGCAACTCCTTTGGCTGGTTTCAGGGCAGCTTTGTCACTAGAAATCATACTATTTAGGCTGATTTTACGTAAATTGATAAAAATATGAATTATTTTAGCTAATATTACTTAATATGATTAACTTGACTTTTTCAAGTATGAAAACATTTGTAGATTGCAGAGCAATCTTGATAAGCAATGCATTATGTATATATATTCTTTGGATCATGTGATTAAGTTTTAAAGTGGTATAACTGAATGCCACTTTTTTCTCTGTTACAGATTCCAAATGAACTAGATGTGCACATGAAAGTTGCTCATCCATTTACATCCATTATTCCTTCTGTGAATATCAATGGAAAAGCAAGTAGTCCATTAATAACATCAGTGATTAACTTTGTATCTAGTCCTTCTCATGACATTTACTCAAGTACATCTATAGTTGCAAGTACTTCAACTGTAGATTCAACATCAGAGAAACATATCTTAACCAGTCAGAAAGACCCACTGTTAAATATTAAAGAAAGAACTGATTGGAATCATTCCTTGTCAAGCAATATTTCTTTGCCCAGTTACATAGAAATCACCCAACGTAATCAGCCAACAGCTAGTACATCTTCCCCAAATTGTGTCACTCAGGTTTCAGAATTTTCAAATAAAAAATATTCTCAAAATGATGTTGATATGCAAATAATTTCAAATAAGCAATGTTGTGCCTTTTCCACAGATTTTGAGAATGACAATGCAGTTTCAGACACTAAAGATAATATGCCATCTATAAGAAATGCAGATATTACCCAACTTTCAAAAAGTATTATTTCCACAAATTGTGTTAATACCATCCAGTCCTCTGAGTCATCAAGTACGACCTCTTCATCATCATTTCTGACGATCACCCAGTCTTCTAAGCTTACAAACAGTATATCCTCTTCATGCAGTTTGAATGCTACACAGTCTTTCAAGCCTATAGTTAGTACATCTTTACCCAGTTTTGTGGATTTAACTGAAGATTCAGACTCTTGTATTGAAGAAATAGCTTGTGAAATACAAAATGACTGTCCAAAGATCACTATTAAGAAAAATAATTTTTCAAGTTATTGTAGTACTGTAGAAACTACTAAAGAATTCTCTCCTGAATTTGAAATTCCAAAGTTTCTCTTAGATGATGAATTCCATAAATATGAATGTAAATGCTGTTTTAATGAAGTTTGTTTTGATGATTTAGTGCAGTGTTCAGAAGGCCATTTGTTTTGCCAAGAGTGTTTGAAAAGATATACTGAAGAAGCAGTTTATGGAATTGGAAAGGTTAGACCTTCCTAAACTCTACTAAATGTTTGATCACATAAAATATAACAAAGTTATTTCATAAAACTAAATACAAAAATAATTAGGAATGAATGTAACACAAAATTAAAATAGTTATCAGAATAGTACCATTTCTGTTGATATATTCAATATAAGGATGGATGTATTTTATCTCAGGAGTGTAATAAAATTTTTGTCATGATATTTTTATAAAATTTAAAACATTATGTGTATAGATAGATTATGTTAATGTAACATACATTCATAGAAAATCGTGGCCATTTGTTTATGCACGAGAAAAATATTGTTATGAAAATTGAGGCTTTTTTCTTGTATGGCTTCATTCTTTTGCCATTAGTTTGGCAGTTTTTGAATTGCTTGAACGAGAGAGAGAACAATGAGAAATGCTCTTTTTAAAAATTTAATAATCTCTGCAGTTAATTAATTCAAAATTAATCAAGTGCAAAATAATTTACTTGACAACTTTATTTTAGACTATGGTAAAGAATCTCTGATAAGCAGAAAGAAACATTTTCAAAGTTAGAGTGGGCAGTTAGTGATATTTCTAACATATCAACCAGTGATGTGTACAAGAAAAAGAAGTTGGTAGCGAGTGCTGTCACATAGTTGCCTTCCCTCTTGTCAGCAGTTCAAGAACAAGAAAAAAGGGGGAACCTTAATTTTGACTAATTGACTAGTTTTGTGTGACACTAATTGATAGGTTATCAATTAAATTACCCAGCTCTAGTGTTAAATCACAAAGAACAACAATTATTGTTCTTGAAGATAAGTAAAAACAGCAGTTCAAATACTTTTCATGTTAACATTTTTGCCATTTGAAGTTGCAAATATCTAATCATGGGCTTGCCCATTTTTTCAATCTAACAGTGTTAATAATACCATTAAAAATCAAAACAAACTTACCAACTTTGCTAGTTTTGAATAAATATTTGTGTATGTACAATTACAAAAAAATGGGGGCTGGGGAGGTGGGCAGAATACATAGTTTGATACTCCTGCAATAATAGTGAAGGCAATGCCTCTTCTATGTTTTAAGCAACTATTTGCATAAGCACTTTGTGTTTTTTTTTACTTATTGTTTTTTATATAGATGTTTATCTATATAAAATAGGAATATAAAGAACTTTACTAGAATTAAAAAAATATATTGTAGCACACAATGCATTTATATTTGAAGGTATCACAAGATAACTTAAATGATGTATTTGATCATTTCAGAAATGGTACTACCTTCTTTCCCCATACCTATCTCGACCTTCATTTGCCCTCTAGGCATTGGTAAATCTTATGAACAGCACACCACTCTTTTATACCCTTATATTTTTGCGTCATTGCAGCGAATGTGCTAATCATGTGACCACCCTCCACCAATCCCATTGTGCTCTCAATACCATTGCAGCATAATCCTCACTTTCTTGATTGGCAATACAGTGTTCAGACGTGTGTTTTCAGTTATTCTTCAAGCAAATTTTGCTATGTTTTTGTGTGTTTTCTTGCTAGTTTTCACTTTTAGTTGGAATTACTTGTTCATTTAGTTGTTCCTTTACTATTATTTCTTTTTCAAAAATCCACGTTGACTTATGAATTCAAATTTTCATGTGGTGAATGAAGAAGTTCTCGGCAATATGGATAAAACTCATGTCACTAGGCCCCAGCGTGGTGAGTTGCCGATGTCAGATGAGGAGATTCAGGTGTTAATTTGGCAAGAGTTGGATGCTTTTGCTGCTTCTTTTGCTCTTTCTTCCTTCCCCCAGGACCATGCTTCTAGGAAGTTTTTCATCAGGGGCAGGACAATTTTGACTTGATTTCTCCTGCCCCAGTTTTTTTTGGCCACTCACATAATGCTGACAGTCAGGAGAGTCTGCTGAATATGCCATGATTACACCTTATTAATCAGGTTTGTAAAATTTTACATGTCTCCCCTTTAGCCCTTGATTCATCTACTTCTTCCTTTCTGAAAGAAGAGCCTTGTTCTGATTATTATTATTTTTCTCCATCTCCCAACATTCTTGTTCATGCTCAATGTTTTGCTGCTCAAGTATAGTCGTGAGTTGGTATGCCTCGTCCCCCCCTCGGCTTTTGGATCAATTCTCTTTTGCTTATCAATGTGCCTCGAATCCCTTTTTGGATTCTCAGCATTTAGATCCTCTCCTTCCCTTGTGGGGTTCTAATTCTGATGCCTTGGTTCATTTTAATAGGTCCCAGTTTACTACGATTCACATTAAATTGACCAATCTTTTATGTGTTCTTTCCTGTTTACAGTTGTCTCAGGCCTTTCACCAGTTTCTTGATCAGTTCTTTGCCGATCTCTGGACCTTCCTGTGGTCTACTATGGCCCAGTTGTCAGCTTCATCTTTGTCCCTTACCACTTGGAATTTGTGTTGTTGGGATTTACTCTGGAGGGATGCATTATTTGAGAGAGTGCATCCCCCCTTTTGCCATTACGGGAACTTTGTCAAGCCCTGTTTCTGTGCAAAACCGTCTTTGGAGTCCAGGATCAATGTGGCGAGATTGCATTCTTCTTTGTCCTCCCTTGCTTCTCATTTATCTCACCTTACTGATTCTGCTCAATCTTTGCCTGTTCGAGTGCCCTGTGCTCCTTCTTCTTCACCCTGCCCTTTTCCCTACTCTTGATGTTCCCTTCTGTTCCAATTCCTCTCAACCTCACCATTATTGGTGATGGGATATCTTTCCACGGGCAGGTGGGAGCCAGGTTACAACTTTTTTTTGCCATCTGGAAATCCTTCACGATGGATCCATGGGTGTTACCGGTTCTGACAGAGGGTCTATGCATTCAATTCTCGTCCCCCTCCTCCCCTGTCCTCTTTCCTGGTTTCTTTTCCTCTTCCTCAGGATCGTGTCTTGTCCAGTCATCCAGCAGAGTCAGTTTTTGATCTTCTTCACAAGATTGCTCTACAATGTGTGTTGCTTGTTCATCTGGACCATCATTCGTGCCGGTACATGGACAACTCCCCATACCTTTACTGCTTATTATCTTCACCACCTAGCCGGTGCTTGTTCTACGGGCTTTCACCTTCCTACTGTTGCCATTTTGTGCTCTATGATTTTTCTTTGAGTGGGTAAGTGCTCCTATTATCTTTGCAGGGGCATTTGTCACATTTTGGATCCTGCTTACTGGCCTAACCAATTATTCTTAAATCTGCACTGTAAGACCTGTGTGTCATATACACCCACTGTTGAGATGATGTGGTCCTAAAGACCACTTGTAGCTATACCTCATGCTATTTTTCTTCATAGAGATGTTCATCCTGGACTGTACACGTATGGACTAACAAGAGTAAAGCAGACAGGGGTCACTGCCTATCCCAAATGATCTGTGTATTGTAGGTCACAGTTCCTAGCCTCTGGAGTGGTGGACCATAGAAGCTTCCTCCTGATTGTGCTCAATTCCATTCAGTTGAGAGTAGGGTGGTGGTGTTCTGCCGGTATAAATGGCATTAAGGCTCATCCTACTGCAGACCTATTGTACAATTCCAGATGCCATTGGGTATTGTATGATTCATTCTGTCAACATGCAGTTTGCCCCTCCAGCTGAGGAACCCTCTTTCCTACTGTCCACTGGGAAATCAACTTCAGAGTTGTGTTGGATGTGCCTACAGGATGAAGCTGATCCTCGTTACAGAGACTCACTTTCCCTACCATTTTCAGTATCTGAGGTGAAAGGTAGAGGATCCATGGACTAGATATTCATATCACAGTTCACCTGATGTTGGTTTGAAGTCAATCTCCCACTTATGGTTCAATGCTCCCTGGCCACTCTATGCCTGGGGTCCCATAATTTCAGACCTGTATGTGGCTAGGTACCCTCCTCCTACTGTGGACTGGAGGATACCAATTCTGCCTGGTGATGGACTGTAGATGCACCTTCACCTTGCTGTCCACCTTCCTACCATCTCCAGAGTGTTGGTTCCTTGTGGATATGGTGATGGTCATGTTGGATGTGCACACATTATTCAGCTGGGGAGGTCCCTCTTTTGTTTCCATCCTTATTGCAGCATAATTTTATGAGGGCAAAGAGTATACCTGGCACAGAAGTGGTGCAGTATCTCACAGATGTGTTGCCTTCCATTTATTTGCACTTCCCAAGGTCTTCCTTTGGGTGCTTTCTAAAGGGGATCATCTTTTTACTGGACTCTCTGCCAACTCATTGTGGGGTTTTAGCTGTTAGTGAGCGAAGGTAAGATATCGTATTGGAAGTTAACATTTTCCACAACTAAAAATGGATTTCTGATAGATACTTATCTCCTCCCACATTTCCCATCCATCCTCCCCTCTTCTTTTGTTGGTTTTGTATGTACTGCACAATCTCAAAGTGATTTCGGGTTGCATGGAAGAGAGGGCACTAGTGACGATAGGTGTTGTGTCACACTCCTATTGGTGGAGGGTTGCTGCATAATCATTTGCATGATAGCATGCAGATGTCTCGTGAATACATGTGAGGATAGATGGGAGTATCAAGGCTAGTGGCAAATGAGAATATGTGCATAAAGAGGGCAGTATAAGTTGAAAAAAGCTATTTGTGAGTAGAAGTATCTATTAGAAATACGTTTTCAGTTTAGGAAAATGTTAACTTTTCAATGATCAAATGAAAAATAATTGTCACATGAAATATCTCCAGTATCACTATCAACAGGATAAGTAGTGGTGGTGAGTTTTTTCATAAAATCAGTTCTTAATTTTCTAACTAAATTGGTTTAAGAAAATTTAGCTTTAACATATTTAAATAGTAAATTAGGATTATGTTCTTACTGATTTTCCTGTGGTTATATATTTTATACTTCTTTATCAATTATTTGTGTCTAAATAAAGTGTACATGTAAACCTTATTTCTTCATAACCCTATTTATGCTTCAGAAATGTTCAAAGAGAACTCAAAAGTGATATTATTTTGAAAATACCTTTTTTATAGGCTGACTTAAAGTGTATGATGGATGGGTGCCCAGCAAGTTTTTTCTTCAGTAAGTTTTAAAACTGTACTTGTAATAATTTGCTTTGTTAATTTATTAAGTAGCAATTCTATATGATTTTGTTCTACACGACCCTGGTAAGGTTACTGGATTTGTATTTCTCTGAGTTAAAGTTTTTAAATTAAAAGTGTTTATAAACTTTCAGTACACATTCTGAATTAATGAACTTTTAATTTTTTACTCACAAGAAGTGAAGCTTGTTCACATACAGAGTATTGAAAATTTTAAAACCCTTTAGCAGTATTTCTGGTGTTTCAATGAAAGAATTATTGATAGACAATTATATTCTGCATAAAGAAGCATTTGTAAAAATTTATTTCTTTTTAAGTTTTTGGCATATTTTGTTTAATAAAATTTTTAATATTTTATTAATTGAAATAATGGATAAAGTAAAAGACTTACCAAGTATATGGAGTAAATAATAGTTTTCATTTACTTTTAATTTTTGTTAGGACTGTTCTGTAATTCTTGTTTTACAAAAAATAAAAGTTATGAATAGAGTTTACTTCCAGATTTGAAGTGCTAGATTGCACTACAAGTTATTTTTGAATGTCCACTTTTTTGTTTTAAAATCTGCTTCCAGGGTGGTTTTGAGACATGCATATATACAGAACAAAATTTAGTTGAAAGCCCAGAATATTCTTTACAAAAAATTGTTTTAAATATTTTGATAAAAAGGTCATAAAAGTCCCTCCTAGAGCAATAAACTACAAGTTTATGTTTTTAATTCAAACTAAATCTTGGTATTATTATTAGAGCATTCAGGTACAAAAAATTCATACCAAATAAAAAAATGTCAGCTAAAAAACTGCAAGATAAACTTTCTTTCAAGTTGTAAGCTTGAAAATTTTTATAAACAGTTGAAGAAAGACATATCTAAAGGTATATTGTAAGAAAAACAACCTAAGTGGGTAAAATTTGATGGCACTGCCCTTATTGTTGTGTATAGATAATATCTATTTAGGATATATTTGAGTTTAAACCATAATGATGATAATTGTTAAAAAAATACATCTAGGATTTTTTTGATAGAATATCACATATGATACAAAAAGTTTTGTATATTTTGAACTGTTCTTTTAACAATTCTGAATAAAATGATTTCCTCTTGCACACAGTTGATCATTGTAAGGTTACATAGAACATTCTTAATGTGTACTTTTATGTTTTAGTGGCTTTTATAATAATTTTAAAGTTATTTTAAGTTAAACATGCAACTTGTTTGGACAAATTTAGCATTTGTTTCAAAGCTTTATAGATATTTAAGTTTGTGATCAATGAAAAGGAACAGCAACTGCCATAATAGATTTAGTTGAGCTGTTAGTTATCTCTGCTGTAAAAAAGTTTATTATGCAATTAATTCTTAATTTTTCACTTTAGCAGATATGCGCTACAACAACAAATGTTGACATCAATATTTGGTTTTGAAATTAATTTTCCCTATCTTTTTGCTATAAGTTTTCGACAGAGTTTCTAGTTGCATCTATCTGTTGTGCTTTCTTTGTAGGCACGCTTGGATGGTAAAAGGTGAAATGTTCTAGCATGCGAAATAATTTGTTGAATTAGTTTAAGGAAATGTGAGGGAAGATTGGGCACTTTTTAACACTACGTAAAACATTTTGTACAAAAAATGAGAAAGCCCAAGAAAATAACTAACTTTAGAAATAGGAAGTAAAGAAAAAGTGAATGATGTAGCAGTAAAATGATTATATCATTAGAGGAGTGTTCAGATGTTTCCCAACAGTGTATTTTTCACAGTATTTTGTTTTTTGTTTGTTTAAGGTCAGTTGCAGCGGGCTCTGCCCAAATCATTGATGGAGAAATATGAAGAGAGAAAAGCAGAAGAAAGTATAAATCTTGCTGGTTTGGAAAATTTTGTAAGGTAAGTTTAATTGTGATATCTGTACATGTGTAGTGTACTGAGAAAGTATGAAGATTGACTTAACCCTTTATGGGTTGGTGATCTCCTTTCATGTTTTGAATGAACACTTATATAAGTTAATTATAAGTAATTCTAAATGTACATCAACAATATTTTAATCAAAAATATTTTAGAATTGATATTTTGTCATTTTGTAACATTTGTTTACTGTAATTTACAAAGGAACTAAAAAACATGCTCAAACTTGCATGTATGTTCAGCTTCAAAGAGTCTTACCTGTAAATAACTTACTTATAGATTTCTTTTTTTTTAATATTTTGCTCATTTCAAAGCATATGTTTATATTTGCTAAGAAACAATCATAAGTTGGTAATACAATTATCAATGTTTTGCTTCTCACGTGAATTTCCTCCTCTTTCTCTGAATTTCATTTGTACAGCTTTTTGGTTTCTACCCTTTTATGACCTCAAAGTAGGTGATTAACCTTCTTGCTATGGCAGGTCAAAGTGTGTATGTCATGCCTATTCAGAGAGTTATATTCAAACTTTAATTAAACTACTTTATTATCATTGTATATAAATAAACTTGGCATCAAAATGTAGTTAATAACTCAATTTTTCATATTATATAAATTTTAAATTCTCAATTTTATAAGTAAATGTTTAAAAAAATTTTTCAATCTCCCCCAGCATGAGAATCATGGCATTTGTTCACTACATTTTCCCTTTTCTCTAATTTATTTACCACCCTTCCAGAGAGAGGTACAGAATTTAATGCAAATTATTCATTACAATATAGATATTACTCAGGCCAAGCATAATTTTTTATAGCCTTTAATCTTATTTTTTACAGAGCCATGGACTAGAAAAGCAGACCCTCTTGTCACTTTTGCCTGTTTCATCCCCTATTTCACAAATTGTCAATAGTTCTCTGTGATATTTTATGCTATATTATTTATAACTAATGGAAAGCCAAATCTTTAATCTATCAAATGATCTATTATATTACATAGTTTTTTGTACAATGTTTTTTGTCTTTTTCATTGTTCATTTTGAAAATTTCATAACATAAAAAATTATTGAAAAACTATATCAAAGTATATGAATTTTTTAAAGTCAAAACTAGATGGATTTAGTAAACACTTGTTTTAAGTTTCATGTAATTTAGTTAAGAATATTTACAGAAGTTACTGTATGTTTTTAAAATCTAATAAACATTAGTTATTTAATTTTGACAGGGTTCATGTTCTGTTGGAAACAGTAAATTAGGTCCTTAAAAATGACAGTTTGCTCCTGGAAAGCTCTTGAATTGTTTTTCTGACAGTCTCTGCAAACCATCACAAAATATAAATATATTTAAAAGTGTTATATCCATTCTTTTTAGATGCCCTCATTGTAGTTATGGGGCAGAGTTAGATGAGATTGAGCTTGTATTTCGGTGCCCTAATCCAGGATGTCTAAAGGTAAGTGAATATTTTACCTGAATGAAGAAGATTGTATGTATATATGTGCCATTTAAAAAATTAACCTGTGCAAGCATTGTTGCTATTGAAGGATGATTTGTTGCTACAGATGTTTTCAGGAAAGTACATATATGAGCATTTAACCATAAAATTACCAGCTTGCTTATATACCATTCACTTCCTGAGAGGTCCATGTATTACATCATATTAAGTAATTTTATATCTTAGCCTGTTACAACATTTACGGTACACAACTGGGTAAACAAACACGGTGAAATTACATTTTCCAATAAAGTCCTGGTCTAAAAAATAAAGTGGTGTACCAGCTACTTGGGAAAAACGTATTAAAGAACTTATAGGTCTAATATTCAGTAATATTAGTAAAAAAGCACTTGTTATACAGTATCTTAACACTGTTGACAGTGTATTAACTCTCTCAGTACAGGCTCGGTAGATTTGACTGACCATGTGACCTGTTTGTACTCATTTAAAGTCTTTATAGATTGGATACTACTAACTTTTAATATAGTGTATATATCTTCACAGGGCCCGGCACGGCCAGGTGGTTAGGGGGCTCGACTCGCAATCTGAGGGTCGCGGGCTTGAATCCCCATCACACCAAACATGCTCGCCATTTCAGCCGTGGGGGCGTTATAATGTGACGGTCAATCCCACTATTCATTGGTAAAAGAGTAGCCCAAGAGTTGGCGGTGGGTGGTGATGACTAGCTGCCTTCCCTCTAGTCCTACACTGCTAAATTAGGGATGGCTAGCGCAGATAGCCCTCATGTAGCTTTGCACAAAAATTCAAAACAAACAATATCTTCAAGAAATTTGGCAGTTTTTCAGTAAACATTACAAGTCTTTTCACATAAAGAAAAATCATATTTTGTAATGAAGAATTTTTAATAAACTAAAAAATAGATTTGTCTGTGAATATATTGAGTATTTCAACATTATTTGTTTCATATAGTCCGTGTGCAAAGTGATTTTCATGGTAAGATTAAAAATACTTTTCTTGATTGCAAAAATCTCAAATTTCATTTGCGTAATCTCTAAAACCTCCTAAATACATTTCAAATGTTTGTTTTCATTAAAACTATGTTTTATCTGTTATTTTCTTTACCCTAACTCTATACAGGGTTGTTCAATTTTTCTGACCTCGTAACCACCTAAAAAATAATAATTAAATTACCCTCTTTTTCTTTCTAGAATGACTTCAAATTGTAACATGAAACTACATTTGTTTATCCTAAGTAGCTTTAAACTGTGACAGTATACATCTATTTATAATTAAATTTTATTGTTGTATTGCTCTTTGAACCATGTTTAACCATTGTTCGTGCCATTATAAATAGTACATCACTTAGGAAATGTACAGATTACATTACCCATGAGCTGCTTGCATGCATGCCTTGTGAAACATTTTTATTCTATTATTATTATTTATTTTACTTAATCTAACCTTAATTAACCTAAAGAGATCCTTATTTTTACATTTTAGTAACTTTTATAATAATAAATATAAAATAACTATGAAAAAACAAGAAAAAATACTTACCCAAGTATTCTTTTTTTTCGCTGTCGACTGTCGATGACACTTAACCCTACTTTTTTTATACTAATGGTAGTAATGCACTAAATAATGTTTATTTAATTAAATAATGCAGCAAAGAACATAGAATAATAACATGCCAAAAGCAGACAATTTTCTCTAACTATTACAATTTTTATGGCATTCTAACTATGCAACAAGAACCATTACAAATTCATCCAAGCTAGTCATTATCTTTCCCCTGGGAATGAAGCTTGTACTAACGGAGAAATTGACAATTCTTTATTCAGAAAACGGTGTAATACAATATGTTGTTTGATAGATGAAAACCTTGGCTTTCTATTGGTTATAAGTAATAAAGAATTAAACGTAAGAGAGAATATGACAGGTGGGTGTGGCAAGAGTGGTCTGATTTTCTATTTCATGGCTCTGTAACCAAACAAAATTGAATTTTATAAAATTATGGCGTGTCTGATCAATGACGACTTTATGGTAAGTAATTTACATTTAATTTCATACATATTGAACGGGTGGTAAATAAAATAGAGAAGAGAAGATGCCTAGAGAAAATGTGTCACACTTGGGGGAAATCCGGGATTTATTAAATATTGTCTTATAAAATTAAGAACTTAAAACTTATATACTATCAAAATATGGATTATTAGCTAAGATTTTATGCTGTACTAATTGATATAACATAAATAAAAACAAGTAATAATATTTTGAATGCAAGTCACTAAAACCTCATGACATGCACAGTAAATGATACCTGGGCAGATAGGGTTAATGTAGTATGGAAACACTAAATATCTTAACCTTCCCTAATGTAAATGTTTTTGGACAAAATTCTTGTTTTTTCTTTTACTCCTTTTTTCCTTTTCTGACTCCTGATCAAGCCAGTTTGCCATAGGTTTGTCGTCAGTGGACCGCATCCTTGTAGCACAAGGTAAGATTCTGTCCACCAAGAGCCAAAAAGCTGGCATGTACCAAAACCAAATCCAGTGACCTAGCTGTTGACATGTTAACTTGTGCATATCAGATAATGTCAGACTTTAACCATCCCACATATTCTTGTGGATGTTGTGAGATGTTTGCCTTAGAGAGATGAATACAGCACGTCTACAGGGATAAAGAATAACCTGTTGACTTCTTCTCAGTTGTGATGTATGCCATCATGATGTATAGTAAGTACTTGTCCCAGCCAGTTTTGGTTGGATTAGTAAACTTGGCAAGTTTATGCTTGTTAGTCTGTATTACCTGCCTTCCTAAATCATCAGAGTGGGGCTGATAAAATGAAGTGCACATCTTCACCACACCTAAAACTGTATTTAATTCAGAGATAATTTGGATATTCAAATTTGCTCCCTGATCTGTGTGGATATCTTCATTTTCTTCAAACTGTGCTATCAAGTGCTTTGCCAATGTAGTAGCCACAGACTATGTTGATGTATCAACCAATTTATAAGTCTTGTGAAGTAGTTGATGACCATGAGTATATAAAAGTAAGCCTACCTTGTTTTGTCTTTGGGAGTGGAGCGATGATACCAAGGGCTATTTTCTGTAGAAGAAAACTAACAGTTCTTTATTGGAGTTTCCCTGTTAAGGCCATCTGTTTCTCTGGGTAGCATATGCCATATAGTGCTGATGCCAGCCCTGTCTTTTATGCAGCAATTAAACCTGCTGTTGAATGTTACTACAAGTGCACATAATACTTTGGTGCCCTTGAGCCTTTGTACTAAGCAAGATCTGGATAATATTGTGTGTAAAAACTGTGAGGACCACAAGCCACAACACACTGCTTGATGGTTGTTACCAATGGTACAGCACATCTTTCTGTACTCATAACTGCTCATGCTAGTGCAATATGATGATTTGCTCAATCTGAGCTAATGATGCTTTACCTTGCTGCATGGCAAGGAGTGCTAATTCTAAATTTAGGTCCTACAGTTTTTCTTCCCTGAGCTCCTGAAGTATTCATTGTGGCACCAATCCAATAGTGCAATCTCTTATTGTAATCAGATTTGATGACGAGGAACCCACTTTTTAGAAAAGAAAGTTTGGAGATGGCTTGAATGGTTAGTGAAAGAAGCTTTATTACAAAGTTACAATTTACATTTCTAATCATTTCTTTCACTACCTATTCAAGTTGTCTACAAACTTTATCTCCTGTTGTATAGCTTGTTGTCACTGTGGCATAATAGCTTAATTCCCACACAGGAACTGGACATTCAATAAATAATAGGGTCTGACAGGGGCAATCCATTGTCATTTCTGTGTTGCAAGCCTGAGATATGCTGTATGATCAGATCATACTCCTGCAGTACTGATATCCAATATGCTATCATGCCTTCCAGATTTTTAAAGTTCATCTGATTTCTGTGATGTATGTTCCACCCAAACAGTGAACTGTCTACCATACAAGTAGTTTTGATAGGGTTTTATTAAGGCTAGAACTTTAAGCATTTCTTTGATGCACAGTATATACATTTAGAATCCATGAGCATACAACTATCACAAGTGATTCACATTCTGTCCTGTAACTGTGATAAAATTGCTCCAATTTGACTGTCATTGACTGAGAAAACTGCAGACTTCCAACTTCATCACAAGTTGAGGCTAATATTGCACTATTGCTATCTTAGCAGGATTCAAGAAGATTCTACCTCTATCCATGATATAACTGAGAAATTCATGATGCTAGAAAAACACACAGGTTCAAGAAGTCTTGATAGAAATGAATAAAAACCCTATAACCTGAGTGCTTTTGAAAGGTGGACCTTTCTTCTTCAGGGGCAAACAGTAGGTCTTGTAATGCTTTTTTTCTGCTTGCTAGTCAGTTCTTCACTGATGTTGACATCTTTGTATGTTTCATCTCCACCTAGTGGTCTTAGGTCTAGTAGGTCCTCATCTTCTAAGACAAAGTCACTGTCTTCTGGTTCTGCATCTATGATGGCCACACCTGCAACATCCATCTCTGTTTCAATAGCTGCACCCGTTAGGTCATCTTCTCTCCCAAAATACTTAAACAGATTGACGTGGTAGATCTTGGTCTTCCCATTTACATTCACCTTGTATTCCATTCTGTTGAGTACTTTCTGTACTTCAAAAGGTTCTTTCCATTGCAGGGTCAGTTTGTTGTGGTCTCTGGGCAGCAGAACTATGACTTTTTATCCAACCTTGAAATGTCGATCCTTGGCCTTCTTGTCATAGAAATGCTTCTGACTGCCTTGAGCTGCATACAAACTGTATCAAGCAAGTTGACAGTTCTCCTCCACTCATTTTCTGAGGTCTAACACATACTGGTATGTGTTCCTTACTTCTGACTCTTCTTCTTCTGTCCATAGCTCTTTCAATATTTGCATTGGACCTTGTACTGTTCTTCCATACAGTAACTTGAAGGGTGAAATCCTGTACTTTCTTGTGGGACTTCTCGATAAGTGAATAAT